CGGAAAAGAGAGGAAAGATTGAAATCATTTTCTGATATACAATGATATGTGTATGTTTGTTTGAAAGTAAAAATAAACGATAAAAAAAGAGAAACAGAAAAAAGAATTCTTTCATTCATCCAAAAAGATTTTTACCGCAACGGAGGAATGAAATTAAAATTATTGATGGAAGAATTTTCTTTTCATTTTCTTTTCTCTTTCAACTTTTTACAAATAGATTAAATGATATTTGAAATTGTTGTGCAATAATTTTTATGATTAATAATGATCATAATAGAAGAAGGAAGAAAACCAGTTCATGCAAATATTTTTTGAATTGATTTAATTGCTAAAAATATTGTAAAAATTATATATTTTACAATTGTAGTAATAGTAGTAGTAGTGGTAGTGATGGTAGTAGGATAAAGAAAAGTATGAAAATTATTAAAATATTTTTAAATTAACATTTACATTATTTAAATTTGCAAACAAATGATGACGGAATTTTGAATTAAGAAATTTGTTTAATCAGAAATTATAATTAATGTTTAGTTTGAAAAATTAAAACTTTTTTTGTTTTTTTTATATCTGAAATATATTTTACAAAACAAAGTAACATTTAATTGAAAATGATACTAACCTTCCGGTTTGTTCTGCGCCGGATCCATCCTTTCTCGATTAATTTGTTTACTTGATTAAATTATAATTCAAATTAATTGCAATCGTACAGTTTGTTTTGAAAATTATTCGCACAAAAATTGAGTCTGCAAATATAATAAAGGATAGGCTTTGAGAATTTATTTATAAATTGTTAATAATACTATTTAATCGCTTTTTTTAAATCGTTATGCAATCGTTCATTTGAAATTTATTTGAAATAAAATCAATTACTTGATTATAAATTATTTCACAAATCAACCATTCCTTCTTTTATTTACATAAGTACCGACAGAAAAAAAAAATGTTAAACTAAAACAATGTGCGGTGACGTGCTTTTTTTAAAATTGCTTAAAAGCTCATTGATCAATCAATATTCTTAATATTTTTGAAATTATAGTATGATCAAAATTAATAATGATCGGTTTACATTCGTCTACAGTATTTGGAAAATGGAAAATTTTTGAAATTTAAAAATTTCAATCTTAAAAACAATTGCCATTGTAGTCATAAATACAATGCTAAATTGAAATCAATTGAAATCCGTGAAATGAAAAATAAATGGAAAATAGATTACAGCGCTAAAAGAATGTGTTAAAATGTGGTGAGATTGATGGATGTATTAAAATAAGGAACGAATAATTCAGGTGTGATAATTGCAATGAATGAGTAAACAAGTAATTAATAGGTGGCTATAAGTTAATGAATGAGAAGTTGAAAATTGATAGAAACATTTTTTTTTCTTGCTTGCATGATACTTCCAAATGAATGAAAGACAGATTTGCAGGAAATTTGCATGACATTCCCAAATGGATGAAAAACAGACCATCGAAAATGACCAAAGGAGTAAATGACAATGACCTGAGATGGAAATTTCGTTTTTATATACTCTACCCATAAGTTTAAGTGGATAATTATAGGTAGATCGTATGTGATTATTGGTGGACGAATGATTTAATATTACTTATCAAATGACCCCACCTATTAATCTATTCATTCAATTTATTTATCTATCCATAATTCTCAGGTTGTTTGCTGGAATGTTTTCACGATTTTTCTTTTTTTTTTGCGATGAGATCATTTGACCTCTCTGTACATAATGATGATGATATGAGTATTGAAGGATAATAATTTATCGAAATGACTTAAGGAATTATACGTTTAGTATATATATATGAATGAGCATTTCAAACTAACAAAATATTTTGTTCATTTCAAACTAAGTAATATTTGAATGAAACATTCAAAAAAAATTTCCTTAAAAGACTAAGGTATTTGTGAAATTTCACTATTTTGTGCTAATTAATATTGAATTATGTAAATTGTCTGAGGAATTATTTTAAAAATAAAAAATAAAAAGAACGATCATTACTTCAAATATTTGTAAAATTTTGATGGAATGGTATAAATGTGAAAAATGTATTTGAATTAAGATTAAAATTTAATAATATCAATTTTTAAAAAATTAATCAACGTATGTATTAGTTTATTAATCTTGGAAGAATTGATTCGGAATAGCACGCAAAATTTAATATCAAACGTAAATTATTCAAAAAATAAAAGATAAAAAGAACTACCATTACTTCAAATATTTGTAAAATCCAGTTTTAATGAAATTTTAGTGATTTAATGGTTTAGTGATGTTTTAATGATTTAATGATTTGGCTTATTTATATAACCAATTTATTTATTCAGCTAATTTAATTAAGCATTTTATTCAATAACGGCATAATTTCACTAACTGGTGGGTACATATCAACTTAATGAAAGAAACTGATTGGATATAAAAGTTAATAATTAATAATTTAGCGAAAATTTTACACATATGAACAAATTGTATAATTTTTGTCACGCCGCAATCCTTGCTATTAAAATTTTGAATTTGAAGTTAAACTTACACAAATATGCTATAATAATTGTGAAATCTAATGAAGATTGAACTTTATTTCATATGTTTGCCGGAATGATAAAATCTGTTATAGAAGCCGGGAAAAATATTTTGGTGCGAAATAACATTTTCAAATTCATATGTTGAATTTAAAGAATTAAATTTTAAAAAAAGAAACATTTTAAATTCACACATTTCAATGCATTTTTATTGGTATTTAAGTGGCCTTAAGATCTTGAGTTCTGAACGAAAAGTTTAAATTATTTGTAATTTATAATTTTTAAATTAACTGTTAAAAGTTTTTTCTTCTTTTATTCAAAAGATTTTTTTCTTCAATCATGATTTATTAAATTACAACATTTTTTTTGTTAAAATTGATTGATACAAGGATAAACGGAGTGATCGATCGATGACAGGTATGAAATAGACAACCGGCTGTTAAACGTCATTCCTTTTACCGATTTCAGATTAGGCGATTTTTTTTTCATCTTCAAATAGTGCCAAAATTCTTGGTAGTCATTTATCAATATGCTAAATGTTTACAAAACGAAGAGTTAATGTAATTTTTAATTTTAAAAGGAAAAAAACCAGCAAATATGAAAATAAGAATTGATTAATATATCGATTAAAGTGAGGCAATTATAATTTATTGTAAATTTAGATTTAAATTAAATTCTCATGATAATAGTAGATTAGTTAAGTGTATACTCTAATTGATTCTTTTTTTTCTGGTAGTAAAATTCAACGTAATACTCGGATTTCTGAATGATTTTATTAAAAAAAATAAATATCTAATTGTTATTTTATGAAACTATCAATTAAAAGAAGTTATTAATTAAAAGATGTTCAAAGAAAGAAAGAGAAGAAGAAAGTGGAAAAATTTTAAATAAAAAGAGAAGATTTGTTTCTGTTGACGGATCATAAATCAAAACTGTTCGATTATTGGTCCTAACCTTGAAGTTAACAATATTTCACATTACTTCTTCTTTCTTTTTTCCTAAAAAGAATTGAAAATATTAAACCAATTATAATTCTTTTTTTTTTTTTAAGGAATGAATTTGAATTAAACATTAAAGGATGTATTGGAAGAATGGGTAATAACAATTTTTTTTTCTTGAAAAGAATTGAAAATATTAAACCAATTATAATTCTTTTTTTTTTAAGAATGAATTTGAATTAAACATTTAAAAATATAGTGAAAAAATGGATTAAAAAAGTTGCAGTTATTGTAACAATTACAACAATAGTAATAATTTTCTTTTTCCTAAAAGAATTGAAATTTAATTTTTTTTTTTTTAAGGAATGAATTTGAATCAAACATTAAAGGATGTATTGGAAGGAATGATTTACTGCAGCAATTATAACGGTAATGACCAAAGGATTGTGTGACTTCTCTGTCCACTTATACCTGACCATATCTAATCGTCCACTCATTTGGACACTTATCATTCATTTGATTGCAGTAAAGAAGTTTTCATACAACCTCTCAAAGTCATCGATATGTGATACTCCAAACTTTCCCTCTCTTTTTTTTTCCTCCAATTGAAATTGAAATTGCATTGCAAAGCATTATTTGCATTTACGAGTACATTTTTGCATTGTAATGACAATTTTTTTTTCTCTAAGAAAAAAAGTTTTCGAAAATTTGGAAAAAAAAAATGGAAAAGAATTTTATTTTTATAGCAAATTTTTAATTTCCATTATTAATAGATATCTAAGAATTCAAATTCTCTGTTATAATTTGATTTTAAAGTGTATTATTAGCATGTATAGTTGATTTGAAATGAGAAAGAAT